CAGCCATCCATAGAGATAAATGGCTGTATGCACTTGTACTCGTGTAAATGCAGGTGCGTTTTCTGCAGCGGCGTTTACCTGCACATGTGTGTAGGGCGTATTCCTCCAAAAAATTTGAAATTTCTGCAATATAGGAATATGTCATGTGTGCATGTGCAGGTAAACATTTGTAACACCCTCCTAGAGTAGTGTAGCTGTTATGTAAATTTAGAAAGCTTCTCTGTAATCAGTGAAGCAGGGGTTGATTGTTTAGGCCTTCTTAGCGTCTCACAGGCTGCTGCTCTGATTCTGGAATTATAGTGAGAGGAAGAGCAGAGTGGGCAGCCTGAATGTTTATGGAATTACAGCCAATTTCTGGCGAGGCCTGCCCAGTAGGTGGTGGAAGAGCCCATAAATATTGTGGGACCTGAGACAGAAGGAGCAGTGTTTCTGGGTCCAGTCCTGCTAGAAGAGACCCCTGTGCAGGGGCTCTGTCCCTGGGGAAAGAGTGCTAGAGAGTGCTTTGTGAAGCCACTGATGTCCCAGCCAGACTTAGCTGGGGGGGCAATTTGCAAGCTTAGTCTGGAATCAATTTGGGTCAAGAGAAGCTCATGGGAGAAAGCTAGGAGCAAGTTGGGGGAAAGAGTGTCCAACCGTCCTATGGTAGGGTGAGCCTGCATCTCCTCACCGTGAAGAGCCTGGAGGATATAGGAAGAAGGCAACCAATGATCCTGCAGTCAGTGTGCTGGAGCGTCAGTGACTATGTAGCTTTTGGTCTCTGTGAGAATTTATAGTCACTCTGTCAGCATTAGAGATTCTGTGGGATATTTTTGTACAGTGCAGCAAGATACACTATATTGCCAAAAGTATTGGGCCAGCCCTCCAAATCATTGGATTCAGGTGTTCCAATCACCTCCATGGCCACAGGTGTATAAAATCATCACCTAGGCATGCAGACTGCTTCTACAAACATTTGTGAAAGAATGGGTCGCTCTCAGGAGCTCAGTGAATTCAAGCGTGGTAATGTGATAGGTTGCCAACTGCGCAATAAGTCCATCCGTGAAATTTCCTGGCTACTAAATATTTCATGGTCAACTGTTAGCGGTATTATAAAAAAAGTGGAAGCAACTGGGAACAACAGCAACTCAGCCACCAAGTGGTAGGCCACATAAAATGACAGAGCGGGGTCAGCGCATACTGAAGCACACAGTGCGCAGAAGCCTCCAACTGTCTGCAGAGTCAATAGCTTAAGACCTCCAAACTTCATGTGGCCTTCAGATTAGCACAACAACAGTGCGAAGAGAGTTTCATGGAATGGGTTTCCATGGCCGAGCAGCTGCATCCAAGCCTTACACCACCAAGTACAATGCAAAGCGTCGGATGCAGCGGTGTAAAGAATGCCACCACTGGACTGTAAAACAGCGGGGACGTGTTCTCTGGGTGCCGAATCATACTTCTCTGTCTTGCAATCTGATGGACATGTCTGGGTTTGGTGGGTGCCAAGAGAACAGTACTTGCCTGACTGCATTGTGACAAGTGTAAAGTTTGGTGGAGGGGGATTATGGTGTGGGGTTGTTTTTCAGGGGTTGGCTTGGCCCCTTAGTTACAGTGAAGGGAACTCTTAAGGCATCAGCATACAAGACGTTTTGGACAATTTCATGTTCCCAACTTTGTGGGAAGAGTTTGGGGATTGCCCCTTCCTGTTCCAACATGACTACGCACCAGTGCACAAAGCAAGGTCCATAAAGAAATGGATGAGCGAGTTTGGGGTGGAGGAACTTGACTGACCTGCACAGAGTCCTGACCTCAACCCCATAGAACACCTTTGGGATGAATTAGAGCGGAGACTGAGAGCCAAGTCTTCGCATCCGACATCAGTGCCTGACCTCACAAATGTGCTTCTTGAAGTTGGTCAAACATTCACATAGACACCCTCCTAAACCTTGTGGATGGCCTTCCCAGAAGAGTTGAAGCTGTTATAGCTGCAAAGGGCGGGGCCAACTCCATACTGAACCCTATGGACTAAGACTGGGATGCCATTAAAAGTCATGTGCGTGTAAAGGCAGGCCGACCAATACTTTTGGCAATATAGTGTAGTTAAGGAGTCCTCCGAGTGTTCAGTTTTCAGTTTGGTTTTCCCATGCTCCCTTAGCCCATCCAAGCTCTATGTTCCAATAAATTCCTAAAAATACATCCTAGACTGTTTCTTTGAGTCAGTGGAAGAGTAAAGAAAATGCTATGTGCCTGGCTGTGTGTGCTCTAACTGGGGGAAAAAGGCTAAATTCACCAGCGGCTCTTTCAGGGTTGCGTTACACACTGATGCAGAAAACTTTTGACATTTACAGGAGTACAAGTACATACAGCCATTTACATTTATGGAAGACTGTATGTGCCACCTGTGGCTCCAAGGATAGCTGTACGTGCCATGCAAAGATAAATAAAAATACATCGTCTCTGGTTAGATACCACTCCTCCATGAAAAGTCCAAAAAAGTATACTTATTTCCCCATATAGTCAGCATGCTTAAAGCACCTCCTCAGTCAGGGCTTAAAAGTTGTAAACAGTACAAGAAATATCAAATAAATATTATTTAATTGGTGAAAAATTATAACTAAACATTATACAATATAAAATGTAACTCATAAAGGCTCTTTGCAGATGGGCAACTGAGAACGTGCAGCTTAAATTCTGCCGTTTTTCCCCTACCCGAAAAGTCCAAGTGTTGCGTACAACCTCCCATAGACACGGATGGGCATATTAAAAAAAAATATCCAAGTACAGCCACCACAGCTGTTCATATACCTAGGCTTTTCGGGGAGGGTAATGATTCCAGAATTTAGCCGGGTTAGGTGCCCATGTGTAAGAATCTTAATCTTAATGTGTAAGAAAAATATGCATAGTTACATAGTTAGTCCGGCTGAAAAAAGACAAAAGTCCATCCAGTTCAACCATAGAAAAAAAAAAAAAAAAAAGTTATAATCCTATACCCACAGTTGATCCAGAGGAAGGCAAAAAAAAAACCCTGAGGCTGCAGGGGGCATGCGTCAAGCTGAAGAAGACATCTCAGAACTGATTTCTGGGCAACATAGATGTGACTGGCAGTTTGCAGGGAGTATTTATTTGCAGAGCCCGTTTTTGGGATCCAGTTGCCTTACCCAGAGAAGGAAGTTATCCTGTAAGCAGGCAGCCTCTTCTACCTATCTCTTAAAGGGACCTCTGGTTACCTGGATCCGAGTAATTTGTTACCGGGCATTTGCTGACTACTACCCTGAGGGTGGACCACCTAAGCCTTGACCAGACCTATATCTGATGAGGAAACCTCTGGATGTGTGTAAGGGACCGCCCGGCGGTACTACTAGCACTCCACTGAATAGGCGTCCCCAGCGCACGGAATCTAAGTCCCAGGGTGCTTGTTCACCAGGGCCCCTGATGGTGGGGATGGACTTGGAGCTCCCTGAGACCAGGTCGTGACTACTGGGTGCGCCCGTCAGTGGTAGTAGTATGCGCAAGGGGCTCCCACGGGGAAGAGTCTGATGTGAGGAGGTCGGAAGACCCCACTGCAAGGGATGGATGGATGAGCAAGGTCAGACGGGCCGGGTCGGTAACAGAGAGGACGGCAAGGTACAAGGCAGCGGGCATAGAATGGTCGGGTCACACGCCAGGTCAGCAACAGCAGGTCGAATCCAATAGGGGGCATCCAGGAGAGAGGTCAGGCAAAGCAAGGGTCAGAGCAGGAGAAAGCAGCAAGGTCAGGTTCAATCCGGGTCAAAACTTACAAGGGGTACAGGATCACAGGTTCACAGGATGCAGGGAAGACCAGAAGGCACTGAATGACAGCTCAGGGCCATTTAAATATCCCGCCCTGCGCTGCCATTGGTGCCCAGCGGGCGGCCGCGGCTTCTACTGCGCATGCGCGAACTCGAACGCCGCGGCCGGCCCGGACCTAGTGCCCGTGTCCCTGCACAGGGCGGTGCACTGCGCCTGCGCCGGGACCATTGCGGCAGGGATCGAGGAGATCCCTGACAATGTGATACTTAATGTGTATAACTATTACGCATCTGGTGAGTGCGTAATTCTGCCATTTTTCACGGAGCACCACCATCGAGTTTTAACCAGTCACCTGGCACCTTATAGTCACATAGACTGTCATTTATATTGAACTTTTACTATCAGTTTGTTTTGAATCATAATTTTAGTGCTGCACTGTTTTATCTAAAAAAAAAACCCAGCAAAGCATGATCCAATTTGCTCCTGCTGGGAAAAAAATTCCTTCCTGATCCCCCGAGAGGCAATCAGATTGGATCAACTTTACCTATAAATGTTATATCCAGTTATATTCTGTGTATCCAGGAAACAATCCAGCCTTTTTTTGAAGCACTCCACTGAGCTGGCCAGAACCAACTCTTGAGGGAATCTATTCCACATTTTCACAGCTCTCACTGTGAAGAAACCTTTCCATGTTTGGAGAATACATTTCTTTTCCTCCAGACGTAAAGAGTGCCCCCTTGTCCTGCACTGAAATAAAAAAAAAACTACTAAAATATAAACAGATTTGCTCATTACTGTTTATAATGTGAAAGACATATAAAAGACATCTGTACTGCGAAAAATATGTAGGCTGCTGATCTGAAAATGTGGGTGTCTTCACTGCTTCTGGTTTTCATGCCATATGAGCATGCAGCAAGTGAAGCCAGATCTGTTTGCTAGTTGCGTGTTAGTGCCTGAAAAAGTATTAGGCTCCATCCACACTTGTGAGGGGGCCATTTGTGATTACATGTGGTATACCCAGAGCGGATTCCAGCTGATTAACTGTGAGCGAAAGTAATGGAAGGCTGACAGTTCTCGCAGCTAATGGTGGTCACACACATGTGATTGCTCATGTGTCCAGGGCTGGTCATCACAGGTAATCGCTACATGCAAGAAACTATGAAAAGGAGGAGTGTTATTTTAAATGCTGCAAATATATTATTTTATTTATTCAGTAAAATAAAACCGAGATTTTCTGTGTTTCTGTTTTTCAGTCCCTATATTTGTGCCTCAAGTCTGATCCCCCTCTTTTCTGGGAGGTTTAAGAGGAGAAGTCATACTGATGTTGTGGAGCCGCCATTCATAGGTATGCTACAGTTTCTTTTCACCGTATTCGCTGCTGTCCTCTGCTGCCCAAACATGGATCAAGAAGACTTGAGCTTTCTGATGGGTCTGTATTTCTCAACCTCTTTTCAGTCAAGGCACCCTTTAAAATGATGCACCCCATTCTAAAATGTAAATACTAAACCAGGGCTTGAAACTTGAACTCGCCAATGGCGAGTGGAAATTATGGTGGGGGTGAGTGTGTCCCCCAGGGCCATCTTGCTGAGCAGGTTCAGAGCTCAGGCCAGATCTGTCATTGGCACTGGGAGCTGTCAGACTGCTCAATAGCTGAGCGCAGTGAAAGCAAAGCAAGGAGTGTGTGCTGTGCTCTCTGCCTCCCCCTAGAGTGCAGTACCCGGCTCTGTGAGTGAACAACGAAGTACTGCAACTTTTTATGGGTGTGTGTGTGTGTCTGTGTATATGTACATGTGTCTGCGTGTATGTATATGTATGTGTGTGTGTACATGTGTCTGTGTGTATTTGCATGTACATGTGTGTGTTTGTGTGTATGTACGCACATGTGTCTGTGTGTACTTGTGTCTGTCTGTGTGTGTGTGCATGTACATGTGTTTGTGTGTATGTACGTACATGTGTCTGTGTGTATATGTGTCTGTGTATGTATGTACATGTGTGTCTGTGTGTACATGTGTGTGTGTGTGTGTGTGCATGTACATGTGTTTGTGTGTATGTACGTACATGTGTCTGTGTGTATATGTGTCTGTGTATGTATGTACATGTGTGTGTGTGTGTGTACATGTGTCTGTGCATGTGTATTTCTGTGTATGTGCATGTATCTGTGTGTATGCATGTCTGTACGTGCCTGTGTGTGTATATACATGTGTCTGTATGTGTGTGTGTGTACATGTGTCTCTGTGCGTGTGTGTACATGTTTCTGTGTGTGTGTGTATGTACATGTCTGTGTGTGTGTACATGTGTCTCTGTGCGTGTGTGTACATGTTTCTGTGTGTGTGTGTGTGTACATGTCTGTGTGTGTGTACATGTGTCTCTGTGCGTGTGTGTACATGTTTCTGTGTGTGTGTGTATGTACATGTCTGTGTGTGTGTACAGGTGTCTCTGTTTGTATGTGTTTGTTGGTGGCGAGTAACTCTAAGGCCTGGCTAGTAGCTCAGGACTTGAAATTTTAAGCCCTGGACTAAACTAATAGTCTTACATAACGCAGCAACATCCACACACGTAGGACACCCAACGTTAGCGGTGACTTACTCCTTTGCACACTAGTACTGACTTGTATTCCAGCTCTTCTCTTCTCCTTCAGTTTCTCTCCCTCGCTCAGCTTATGTGACCCCGCTGATGAAGGAGAGGGGCAGGGGAGGGGCAAACAAGGATGGTGTGCAGGCACCTGATGTCCTCCTTGTCAACTGATGACATCATTGGTTGCTAGTAGTGATGAACCAAAATTTCAGGTGGCCGAAACGTTTCTGCCGAAAACACCCCTTTCGGCTGTTGGTCGAAATGAAGAAAAGCACCGATACAGGTGCCGAAAAAACCCCGCCGCCCGCCAGCCGTGACCGCCGCCCCTCAGCACCGCCTGCCGTTGCCGCCTGCCACTCGGTAGTTCTCAGCCTTACCTGAGAAACCATCGATCCTAGCTCTGGGCATAGAGATGAGTGAAGGAAAGATGGCCGCCACACATCTCTATGCCCTTGGAGGACCGGAGCGATGTCACTTCTGGTTCCAGCCATTTCTTTTTTTTTTTTAAAGCACTAGATCAATGCTTTTTTTTGATCCAATGCAGAGCAGAGATGTGGGGTCTTGTTGACCCCATATCTCTCCATGAAGAGAACCTGTCACTAATTATTTCTATCACAGGGGATTCATGCATTTTTTGTGATAAGAATAAAAGTGATTAAAATGTTTTTTAATGGGACAGTGCAAAAACAAAAATATAAATAAATTAATTAAAAAAAGTTTAAAGTGCCCCTGTCCCCCCATACTCACAGGTAGTGGTGAACGCATACGTAGGCCATGCCCACATATGGAAATGGTGTTCAAACCACACATGAGGTATCGCCACGAACGTCAGAACAAGAGCAATAATTCTCGCACTAGACCTCCTCTGTAACATTACACTGCTAACCTGTAGACATTTTTAAAGCATTGGCCATGGAAATTTTTAAGTACTGCAGTTTCACACCATTCCACAAGCGTGCGCAATTGACTGACCATTTGGAAACTCAGCCACTGCCCGAGGGCCCGGGGTCAGTAGGGGCCCCCATGAGATGCCCCTGGTACCTTTTCCATAGGCTTTTTTGAGTTTGGGCAAGGACACAGGGGCCCCATGATCCCCTATTGCCCGGGGGCCCCATGAGTTGTCAGTCCGCCCCTGCTTACAGTGTATGTCTAGCCCAAACTTTATTTTTATTATTGGATAGTATGAGGAAGAGCTAGAACATAGTGGCTAAATGGTTAGCACTTCTGCCTGGCAGTACGAAGGTCGTTGGTTTCAGTCACAACCCTGACACCACCTGCCTGGAGTTTGCATGTTCTCCCTGTGCCTGCGTGGGTTTCCTCCAGGTACTCTGGTTTCCTCCCACACGCCAAAGACATGCTGGTAGGTGAACTGGCTCCTGTCTAAATTGGCCCTTGTATATGAATGTAAGTTAGGGACCTTAGCTTGTGTGCCCCTTGAGGGTTAGGGACTGATGTGAATGTACAATATATATGTAAAGCGCTGCATAAATTGATGGCGCTATCAGCGGCAGACTGACAACTCATGGGGCCCCCGGGCAATAGGAAATCAAGGGCCCCCTGTGTCCTTGCCCACACCCAAAAAAGCCTATGAAAAGTACCAGGAGCATCTCATGGGGCCCCCTACTGACCACAGACCCTCGGGCAGTGCCCAGGTGCCCGAATGGTCAGTCCACCCCTGGGCGCTATATAAGTTCCTGTAATAAATAAATAAACTCCTGGAGGGTTTTTTGTGCTATTCAGGGCTCTGCTAGAGGGATTTTCCCTCATTTACTGTCACAGTGAGAATTATTTCATCAGATGGAAAGTAAGGGAAAATCTGCAACAGATACACATGTAAAACTTCTACTCGTAGGGTGACGTACTACCTCCCTAAGTAGTTTGGCAGGCGAACATTTCAATGTGAGGGTTTGGTTTTTGGTTTGACACCAGTCACATTTGTCTTTTTACCTTTTGTTACTGAATTCAGTTCTAGGAAAGGGTTTGGGGATGTGGGATACGCCAAAAATAGGATGTGTTTTGACAGTAGTAGTTGTAGTAGGCCCTTAAAGAGCAGCTTTTTGGTAATTATTAACCTTGTAAAAGCAGTCTAAGATGAGCTTGTAAGAGTAGTCAAAATCAGGGGTGGACTGACAACTCATGGGGCCCCCGGACAATAGGGGATCATGGGGCCCCTGTGTCCTTGCCCAAACTCAAAAAAGCCTATGAAAAAGGTACCAGGGGCATCTCAATGGGCCCCCTACTGACCTCGGGCCCTCGGGCAGTGCCCGAGCTTCCAATGGTCAGCCCGCCCCTGTCAAAATCTTTTATTAGTTGTGGGTATTTCTCTAATTATTGTGTCCCTTGACCTACTGATAGCAGTCAAAGATGAATCCTTCTTACAGTGTCATGTTGATAGCTTCTGCCCAGCTCCTCTAGCTACTCTATGACATTCTTCAGCAAGAAAATCCTTTTCCAACCCAACTATCTTGAGATATTTGCTCCAGCAGGTAGTTCTTGGGCCTTTAGCACATGCAAAGAATGCTTGCACCTCTGGGAATTGTGTACTGGCAGGCATTTTGGATCTCAAGCCTAAGACTAGGTTCACACATAACTGCTGAGGTTTTTTTTTTTTTCATACATTAACATGCAATGAGTTAGGAAGCTCATTAAAAGTGAATGGGTCAGTGGTCCAAAAATTGGATCTGAACTTTTTTTGACAGCACACCACATTACAATGCATTTTAGAGCATTGCCACGCTTTTCACTGCAGTGTGGCATAACTCTCTCAGAAAGTTGTGGCATTTTCCCACAATGCAATAATGGGAACAGGACCTATAAATCTCTGCACATGGTTGCCATGTTTAGTGTTCTTGACCCTACCTTAGTTGTGACAATTCCACAGATTATGCTGTCTGTGGCTCTGTAGTACCCACACGTGACACATGGCCACTACCTCAAAGTCTGCAGGACACACTGGTGATGTACTGACTGGGAAGGGAGCAATCCACAGAGCACAGCCAGGAGATTGCTGACACCTGACACACCTAGACACGTCAGACAGTAAAGATCCAGGCTGCACTTCTAACTCTACAAAGGAGTGAAGATTGGATTCAATGGATGTGGTAAACAGGAGTGTAGTATTTGAAAGAAACACTGTGGTTAGGATAAATGTTTATGTTCATAAACCAGAATTTTTATAAACATCTAAAAAAAGGATTAGTTTTAATACCCTGGTGCCCAACCTGTGGTCCTTTGGCAATTGTTTTTATGTCTGTAGTTGTGCTGTTACACAGTTAATATTTATGTTAATGTACATGAGAATTCATATAGTTTATTCTTTGTACCATTTCCTATGGATATTTCTATAGTTAGTTATATGCTGCCATCCAGTGGCCTTATTTGTTTTTTATATTACCTCCCTGAGATCTATGACACAATTCCTGTGCATATGAAGCTCCTCCCTTCTTCTTGAGTACATCACTTCCTGTGTCATGGAGGCAGCTAACAGACCACATGTAACAGGGACACATGTATTCTGCATGGTACGCTACAGAAAGTATCATCTTTTGACCGCATAATACTGGAAACCATTCATTCTGCTGTATCCTGTTTCACATGTACAGAATAAAGCAACTTCTGGATGAACACAGTATTGGTGTGTTCAAGCTATCTGATAAGGATTGTCCACAGTGATTATATCTGCTTATACAGGCTAGGCAGAGAGGTCTCACAAGGGATAAATCGCTATCACAACAATCTGAGTCAGAATAGTAGTGTGTCTGACCATCTCTA